CTTAATGGCTTTGTTGTTTCCAAACATCAGTTTTATTTCTCTTGAAGTTGAACCACAAACCAGAGATAAATGTTTCATTATCCTTGTGTTACCTCTGATAACTCTAGAGAACCAAACTGAAAAGGAAACGGGGTGATGTCTTTTACTCTTCCAGTGGTTGCCCAGGAGCATCCACCCTTTCTCCAAGTAGAATATTACAACATAGTTGCTGCTTATCTACAGCAGTTTGTCTTTAGCTACAGTCTTCCACTCTGCCTGGGAGAAACAAGTAAATAAAGCCCATATTTCAAGCTTGATTTACTCTGATACCTACTGTGAAAGATTATGACTCTTTAGGGAAATAAAGACAGGGTCAGGGAATTAGTGTACATAATGGTCATTTTGATAATGGGCCAACAGATGCAACTGGAAACATACTGTACACAATTAAGCATAATGCACTAATGACAGGTTAGAGTTTTTATCGCCTCTTTGCGATCGAGCAGCAAATCCAAGTTTAGCAGTAATAAAGAGTTTACTGGTGCTAAAGCCAAAGATTTTCTGACAGAGGAAAGATTTTTTCTTTCATAACAAGAGTATTAAATCCTTTGTTTACTAGGCTCTAGAAAAGAGATATGCAAAGTGGTTGTCAGATATTTCTTAGGAAAAAGCCAATTAAAGGGTAATAGAGTAAAGGATGAGAATTACCATTTGACTTCAAATGTCTCCTCTTCTCCTGCTCTCTCCTGCCTCCACCCCGTAACAGCGTTGTGCCCCTGTGGACAGCTTCTCTTCCAAAGAACTTCAGAATCGCAGATAATGATCCAAATCCGAGCTTTTTTCCTCATGAAAGTAGAGCAGGCTTGTCATATCTTAACAATTCTGTATTTTGTAGTATAGCAAGATCTCATCTGTAGGCTTAATTGAACACACTAACTGCGTACCTGAAATACAGATGAAAATGAAAGAGAATTATCAGAGTAAACCAAAATGGCACCTGCAGGGCTGATGCAGTTTTCTGTCCTCTGTCCGGTTTGAGTCGGACGTTGGGAAGATCTTATTTGATAAAAGGGTGGAGGCTGCTTCTCAGTGCAGGTTTCGGCTGACTTCCTTACCAGAGACCTCACCTATCGACACTGTGGATTTTGGCTTAGGGTGTTGTCACCAGGACACTCATATTAGGTATCTGAAATAAAAAGAATTAAATATTTACTTCCTGCTAAGGTTTATTTGCATGAATGACGCTTCTGTTTGGGATCTGGTGGAATACGCTTTACTAATGATGCTTCTAGCATGTAATAGGTGGGTTTCCACCACAAATATTCCTTTAGCCAAACTATTTGAACTGGACCAAACTAAAGCTACCGCTTAGGCTTATAACACCGAGTATTTTCTTGCTTAGTGCTGAAATTCAAGTACAAAAGTCTTTCTGGTCTATTTGCTACAACGCCTCCTCTCAAAAAGGTTAAGAAGAGGTGAAAAGGATGAAAAGGCACTTGCAGGGTTTAAAAAATCTTCTATGGAAAAAACATCTTTCATACCACAAAAAAGTCTCCTGTAGGTTGTTATGTGCATAACGTGGAGGCTTAAGAGCAGACACATTTGCAGATGAACTGCTTTTACTAGCTTCTCCGAGACATGACATTTGTTCAGAAGATTAGCCAGGTTGTAATGTGTAGCATAATTGCACTGTGCGGATGTCCCAGAAGTGAAAACCTAATTGCTTGACAGGCCTATAACTTTGTGGTACGCTCTCACCTTGTTAGGTCCTTTTCTGATGCAGTTCAAATGAAGTCTGGCCGCAGGTGTGCCTAATTTACCTCGCAACAGAACGTGTTGAGTTTAATTGCACAGTGGTTGTTAGGAAAAATTGGTGGGTGGAATATCAAGTGACTTACTGTACACGGATGGCAGATGGGCGTTGAGAGGCATCGTGAGCTAAGTGTATAGGTGAGGTGAGTTAATAAAAGATGTAAATTTTATCTTAAAATAGTGAAGTCTTGTGGTAGGTAATACATTTTAATTAAGATGGTAGCAGTCCCCTTGCTAGCAGCGTGAAAAAATCAGAGCAAAGGAACATCACAAAGACTGCATTTTTCTCCATATCAGTATTTTAGGAGCAGCTTAGTATGTTTAGGAAGGCTATTCTGCAAGACTGTATTTATTAAAAAAGACTACAATTTGTGCATATAATACAAAATATAGCAAGGAGAGCCAAATCTAGAAAGGCTTGCATTCTCATTCTGTTGGTAGCAACAAAGTCTGAGCTCCGATCCAGCTCCTCGCCTCTTGCTATGTCACAGAGATCTTGTCTCGGGAGTGCAGGGCTCACAGAGAAGGCATCTGGCCCTGTTCTCTCTGCAGTAAGGATGGGTTCGTAGCGCCCACGGTCCTTGTCGGTCAGCTGAGAGGAATGATCAAGTCAGTCACCTTCTCCTGGCAAGGTTTGAGGAACGCCCTGCCTAGGAACATGGTTTTTAACTTACGTTGCCTTCCTCTGAAAGTCCTGTCCTGATGCCACCTGTGCTCCATGAACTCTCTGAAAACATAGATTACAAAATAAAATATCTCGGTCTGAAGGAATGTAGCAGAGCTGAAATACGAGTGCCGCCTGTGTTCACCCCAGCCTTGTGGCTTCAATATTTATGCCAGTGTTCAGGGTCATCCTAGTAAACTTGAAGATGTCTAATTCCACCAAGAGTGGGTCCTTTTCACCAAATAACTGAACAAATACCAGTTCCAGTTGACGTTTAGTGAAAGGGTTCTTAATGGCCCTTTTTTTTTGATGGGATGGGAGCTCTCTATATAGAAACAATTCATCATGAATGCTTCACGTTAGAAACAATCCACGAGGAGCAATACTTAGCATTCCTAGTGCACAATTCATTGGAGAATTTCCGAGCAATTTACAAACATTAGCTCAATAAGCCTCACAACACCCATCTGAGATCAGAAAAAAAATAGGTAAGACACTCCTGTTCAGCCTGGCTGTGGCACTAAGGAGCCGTAAAGCTGGAGGCTTGCCCCAGCTGCTGGCTCCCCAGCGCCTGGTGGTCCCGTACTGACATGGGCATCAGCTGGTCCTTGCACATCATCGCAGTCCGTGAGGTGGAAGATGTGCGAAAAGAATAGAGGTGCGACAGAAATGCCATTACGTTTAGCCTAAACTCAGTTGATCTGGAGATCGTAAGCATCTTAAAAAAAAAACCAACAAAAACCAAGGCAGATAAAATTAGGGTGAGGGCATGGCTTACAAAGACGCAGTTTCATGGAGTCGCTGGTGGTGTCCCTACAACAGTGTCCAGAATACCTGAGTTCAAGTGAGCATCCGAGCTAGGAGATCACGTTAACCACCGTGGAAATCCAGCTCTCTTTCAGCTAAAACCCCCTTACAGATTTTGGGATAGGACGTTTTAAAGAAATGTGCATTCAGCTGAACTGACAGCATGGATTTATTTATGCACAATTTCAGTAAACGTAGTTGTTTCCCTACTTGCCTCTCTGATATGAGAGATTGCTCCTTCAGCATTAGAGTCCTGTATTAATATTAGGGTCCGGCTCAAGGTTTAACTGAAAAGGAAGAGCTGTGATTAAAAGCAGCAGTTTATGATGTAGGAATACTCCCATAATGCTCCTCTCCGATCCTCGAAGCTCCGCAGGAGGGAGCGTGATGCGGTGCAGCCACGGTCGTACTTTCTGTTGGCCGCAGTTGGGACATGTTGGGTGCTGAAGAAGGGGAGAGGCACCTGGCTTGTCTCCTGTGCCTCAGGAATGCTGAGGCACATGGAAACTTCTGTGAGGTGTATACAGCGAGAATAGTCACGGTCACTTAGAAAGATTGACATGAATAAGTAATAGTTGTTCATATTCTAAATGTAAAAACCCAGCCTCGCTGTTCACCCTGTATGGAGTTGGGCAGCACAAGCTGCGGGACTGGAGCATGTGAGAAACTCTGGGTGAAAAGAAAGTCCTGAGCCTTGCTTGTCATTACCTGTCAGTCACTAGCTGAAAACCTGACTTGTAGAACGTTTTTTAAATTATGAAACACAAAAACATAGCTACCTAAAGAAAAGAGGCGGCGTTAGGCTGTGAACGTCCTCCTGTGCGAAGGCAGGACGGTGAGGGTCTCCTCATCTTGTATAACCTGCAAGGTGGAGACATCCCATATCCGCACCTTGCTCCAGTACAGGAGGGTGGCATAAGGGAGTTTGCATCTTTCCAAGCTTTTCCCCCTTCTGTAAGTGCTTGCTGTGTTCCCAGGAGGCAGCGTTGCTACAAAAACGGTTTATGGGGAGGTGCCTGGATGATAAGGGTTAGTCCTAAATAATTGCTGGTTGCCGCTCAGCAAAAATAAGCTGGATTTCCATCCCCTGGTAGAGTGACTCCTCACAGTTAAAGGCTGGCAGAGGTTGAAGAGGTCATAAGACAGGGCCTAATTTGCCATGTTCCTTTCCTTTCAAAAACAATGAGGGAACCGGGGCCTTGCCGGTGGGCAGATCCCGCCTGGATCTCCCTAGAGTCAGCAGGAGTTGGATCGAGTCCCTTTGAATAGCGAGAGTTTCCAAACCGGAGGCAAAGCCAAGTGTTTTTCAGAAGATTGATCATTCATTACCTTGGAATTTTTCGACATAGAGGTCATTACTGCTAATATAAGTTGTGAAAAAATAAAATGTATTAAAAAAATAGAGACAAATTCTCATCTGGTGTAAGTCATTGCCTTTGAAGTCAATGAGTCATTGAAATCAACTTTCCCACACCGAGCTAAGGATATGGCCTGGAGTCAATACATTTGTAGTTGTTGAAAAATTAAAAATATAAATTTGCCTTTCCCTGGCAATAATGTTCTGTTTATGACAGAGATCTTATGCTTTAAAATAAGTTCATTAACTAATAGGAAAGTAATATTTCACTACCAGTATTCTTTTGGGTATAACTATTTATGATTAAATTTTATTAAACTTTTTAAAAATTGGATTTACATTTTGATGAATCTAATAGATTTCAATTTTGTATTTTTATAGATTCTTTCTAAAGTTTTTCCTCAAGTGCAATCAGAACTGTTTGAAGAATGCAGGCAACCCGCGAGACATGCGAAGATTCCAGGTACAGATCCCTCTTGAAGAATAAACAATATATAAATGACTTACATCTTCATCTGGAACTTTTTAAAATGAAAAAACAGTATCAGTGCTTCTACTTAGTGTAGTTCTAATGCTGCGTGCCTTAGAAAGAAATGCTGATTGTATTTCACATTTCCGCCACTAACTTAAATGCTGGTTCTTGGGACTCGCCGAGTTCTGCAGTGGACTGGAATGGATCAATGCTGCAGCCAGTGGATCTCTCCTCAGAAAGTATTTCCCTAGTTCCCCTTCGTACTAACACCTTGCGTTGTAGTGTGGTGTGTGCTCAGACCTGCAGAGGTTTTACAAATGTAGACTGAGTAGCGTAATCTTACTAACAGACATGGCCACGAAGTGCAGTGAAGTTTGGATCTCATGCAGGGGTTTTTCACATTCACAACTGGTAAATCCAACAGTGGTGGTCCAACCCACATACTTTTATTCCAATTGTGTTAGAAAATGTTTAATACTCCACTTTCTCCTTACAGCTTTTGAAATATCCTGTGGTGAATCATAACACTACAGAGAGACAGCTGACGTGATGGACAAATTATTTCCTCTGTATCTGGGGTCATTTGAAATGCTTGTTAGGAAATACATGCTTATGATTTCAAAATATTTCACAATGATTCATGTTTGAGACTAATAATAAAGTAGGATTGAGATGTTAAAAACTTTCTTATTTTTGAGAAGAATAACTTGTGGTTAAACTTGATAGCAAAACATGTGACATCTGTTTTCATGCACAGCCAACCAACCGGTGAAGCCAGCACCCTTGAGCCAGCCAACAGAAAAGATCTGTAGCTGGAAAAAATATTTCTTCAAAACAATTGAGCCAAGCTTCCATTTTTCATGCATCTCAGCTTCACGTGGCATTGGTGATATTGATCCATCTGAACAGAACAGAAGGTCAAACCTGGAATGAGTGGAAATGTCCTCTTTGTCTCACCGATGACTAAATGAAGCATCAGTCATGAGTGATCTTGTGGTCGACAATGGAGCCAGTAGGCACTAGAAAGACTTTCCTGGGTCTCTTTAGCTAATCTCCCTGCCTCTCAGAAGGTTTAACTGGACTTAACAGTATGTCAGATCTTGAACAATATTTTTAACTGGTTTCACTGTCTCAGCACCTTTCTTTAGGTGCACTGCAGGAATAAGCCGATATAACAAAGCATAGCATGTCTACTTTCTTTTGCTGAACTACAGTATTTTCCCTTGGTGACTGACCTATATATACATGACAGAACAAAAATAGTTGTCATTTTTATATACACCTTTCTCTGTCTTTTCAATAGACCGTGTTCTAGGAACCAAATCCAGAAACCTTTGCTGAAAATCACACTTGTATGTTTTGCAATAATTCTTGAAGTCTGCGAATCTCATTAAAAGTGAGAGCAGGTAGCCCAGTAGCCCGGCAGCAGCTCTGCGGCCGAGGTGAGTGTGCAACCTCAGCACTCTCCAAAGTGGATGTTGACAAGAGTGAAAGTGTCCACTTCTGGGAGGACAAAGATAGGGAAGCAGAGCAGCCTGGCAGAGAACTGCCCTCGGGCTGTTCTAAAGGGTACCGCAGATGGCTGTCTCAAAGGAGGCAGGATACGCAGGAAAGGTGCTGTGATAGCTGAAAGCTAATTATGGGTTGTGAATAAGAAACAGGATCAGAGGTGATCCAAAACATAGAAGCAGACAAGAATTTTCTTCTGATGCCTCGGACCAGCTCTGTGCAAAAGGAGGCTAGTTTTTCCCCTTCCGTTTTTGGTCATTAAGTGTTTGGGTATAGGAGCGGCGTGAGAGCCCTGGCAATCATTTTTGTTATATCCAAAAGTAAAATAAACGGAAGGCAAAAGCTACAATTTGTACTAGCTTTCGCTGCCATCACCAGTAGGGTTGATAAGGCCTGACTTAGCCGTTGACTTTAAGGACTCTACTAACGTTAAACCCCAAAGGAAATGCTGGAGCGATTACTTCGCTTAGAAAATCTGGAACCCACACAACAGGGCTCATGCTGGAGTATTTAAATAAGATGTAATTGTCTATCTGGGATAATAGCGATCGACCTACGAAGCCGTGTTCCACACAAACCCAGGCGCATCTCACGGTTTCCTCTTTGGCTTGTGTTCATGCGATATCGTTTCCGGAAGGAGTTTCACAACTCCATTGTGTAGGTGTTTTTATCGTGAAGGTTGTGCGTTTTGCATATGTTCCTTTTCCATTTTCTACTGAGAAGCAGCTGGAAGCCAAAGAAGGCCCTATCCATCATCTCTTCTATGGCCGGACTCTGAACCTGGACACAAGAATAGGAGCCTTTCACTCAAAAATAAAGGAGGAAATTCCGTTGACATACCAGGGTCAATCACCATCCAAATGAACTTGAGAAGGGATACTTTTCATGGATTGAAAACACTTTCACTATTCATATTCAACTCGGTCTTTTCAGATGCAAAAAAGTTCATTATCAGACATTAAATGTAATTGTAAAACTGACCTGGAGATCATTTACTGAAGAAAAAATGGGGAGTTACGATGGTTCCTGATTTATTAAGCTTTTTTTATTTGGAATCCTCACAACCCTTCATTTGAAGACAGTCTCAAGTGAACAAATTTTAATTAGATAAACTATCTAATCAATATATCAACAGATCAATCAAAACAGCAGCTTTTAAAATGAGTGGCTAGAGGGGTGTTTCTGAAACTAATGGCTAGAAGAATATTTCCCTGAATTGAATTCATTTGTTAGCATAATAGGAGATTAAACTCTAATTAGTGTAGCAGGTTCTGAAGAGAAACAATTGTGAGTTAAAAATCACCAGCGTTAGCCACATAAACAAAGATGTATTCATAGTTGTCATTCACTTTGTTTAAAGCAAAAAGTAACAGGCTGCGATGTTGTTTTGTCTTAAAAGAAGATCTGATTCTGCATCTATGTTTGTGAAAATATGCAGGTTTTTTTAAATTCTGGTTTTTGTTTTCTTTTTCAGGTTGTTGTATCAACAACAGTCAATGTGGATGGCCACGTGCTGGCTGTCTCAGACAACATGTTTGTACACAACAATTCCAAACACGGGAGGCGGGCTCGCCGCCTTGACCCCTCAGAAGGTACGGCCCCTTCTTATCTGGAAAATGGTAGGCACACATTTACATGTCTTTTTTTATTTGGAATTCTTTTTTTTTTTTTTTTTTTTTTTTTTGCACCATACTTTATGTTGATACACTACTACATTTACTTTTACATAATTTCTTCTGTCATCCATCAAACCACCCATTAAAAAAGTCCATTAGTATTTCTCAGCCCCTGTCAACCAGAATACAGGCGCTTCTGAATTTGCTTCTGACTTCTTTCTTTATTTAATACTTACAGTTTTGCAGTCACAACCAATTTTTCATCTTTTTCTATTTATTTTTTTTTTTCAGTCTTGTTTTGCTTGCAGCTTTTTCTTGCTATTTAATTTGACTTGATTTTATTTTGGCTTGTCATATTCCTTGATCCAGAGGTACAGTCTCAGGTTATGTATGCAAGTTTAAGTGGATGGTAAAAACATGACCGAATCTGTAAAGAATTTACTGTGAGGTCAATTTCCTGTGGCTGGGCCTTACTGCAGATTACGGCAGGAGGGGGTTTGTATGAGAAAAACAGCATAAAATGTTTTTCTTCAGACTGACTCAATGTGATTGACTTCTTGCCTGAACTGCTAAAAGAAGATAGTCTGAGATGAAGAGGAGAATGGAAAGTGTCTCTGAAAATCCAGAATTGTGAAATACTATCTTTCTGGAGCCCATCAGCCTCCGAATCACTGGCACACAATTGCAGCTGCGCTCGTACACGTGCACACATGTATTTATTCTCCCACAAAGCCCCAAATAATCATTTAGATTTAAATATCACTTTGTTCGCACTGTAAAATACACCAGCTTAAATATACAAACTGTCTCTCAGGTAACCTGTTTTTTAATAAAATTAGAATAGAATAGAATAGAATAGAACAGAACAGAGTAGAGTAGAGTAGAACAGAACATTTTCAGTTGGAAGGGACATACTATGATCATCTAGTCCAACTGCCTGCTCACTTCAGGGCTGACCAAAAATTAAATGCATAGGGGTCAAATACATCTCCAGTTCTTCAAGAGTTAGAATTCTCAAACCCACTGTGATTTGACGTATGGCTGCGTGGCCAGGCCACGCATATCAGTTTCCATGGGACTCCTCTTGCAAGTTGTTGCTAACATATTGACAGGATCATGGCTTTTTACACTAATAAAATTAATTAAAGTAACAACAGAATACTAAGCTGCTAATACAATCATTGTCATTTTACATTTCAAATAGTATTTACCAATGGGCACACAGAGAAATGAATGAGGCAAGCAACAATTATCAGAAGGAAATACGATCTAGACATCAAAAAATGGAAAATGATTTACAAATCTGCTGCAGTCCACACACACAAAACTAATTTGTTTTTCTGCATTAATAACTAAGGTATAAGAGAACAAAAATATAATAATTAAAGGTCGCCCTGAGCACCAGAGTCATTATGGTCTATGACGTATTGTTTATCTCTTTCATATGCACTGAAAGTAGGTGTGTGTTTTGCCTAGCAACCGTCACTAATGAGGTTCACAATTAAGAAGGCTGAATCCTCTCCCCTAGTCCTCTCCTTCCCCAGAGAGCGAGAACTAGCAACATTATAGGTTCAAGTAAGCATGCTCAGCCCTGTGGTGTTAGGTTTTAGTCTGGGTCCAAATTCAGCCTCTTCTAATGAGCTATTATGATCTTAGCAAAATACAAGTATTTATTTTTGTAAGCTGCATGAAAAGAATTTGACTCTAAGCAGAAAATATCACTTAGAAAAATAAAGGCCACTTTTACATGCTACAGAAAATCTACATAAACGTCACTAACCGAT